GGCGCCCACCGACCACGTCGTGTCCCGAGCGGGCGTGCGTCACCAGCGCCGCGGGAAGACCTACACGGGCGTTTCTCTCTCGGGTAACTTGTGCACCTCGTTGATGACGCGGTAGTTGACGACGCTGGCGAGCAGCGGCGACGACTCCTCGCACTCGCTGCTGCCGGCGTCCTGCTTGCTGCAGTAGCGCAGCCGGGGGTTGCGCCCCTCGACGCCGCCGCCCGGCAGCAGGGCCTCGCTCTCCCCGCCGCTGCGGAGGCTGAGCGGCACTATGCTCTGCGGGCGCCAGCGGACGGCGCCCCCCGCGCTGGAGGCTCTGTCGGAGGGGCCACCACTGGCGCTGCTGGAAGGTTTGCTGCCCCCGGGCGTGGAGGGCGAGGCCGCGGCGGTGCCTGCGTCGCGCAGGGGCGAGGCGGAGGGTCTGTGCTCGAGGCTGAGCGCGGCGGGCAGCGGCAGCGAGAGCGGAGGCGGCGGCTCTCCGGGCGCGGGCGGCGCGTGCTCGTCCGATGCCTCGACCAGGCTGGACGGCCGCGACACCACCTCGCTCACCGACGTCCTGCGGCTGGCGTTGAGCACCTCCTCGTCCGCCGACACGCCCGGCGACGACAGCGGCGACATGGCGGCCTCGGGGTGGCCCAGGAGGGGGCTGTGGTCGCCGGGGGGGCCCCTGGGGGAGCGCGGGGACCCGGGCCGCGGCGCCGAGCGGTGCTCCTTGATGCACGGGCACGAGTTGCGCTTCTTCTCGTGGCTGATGCGCCGCACCGCGCAGTCGTCGGAGGCGGCGGGCGAGGCGGGCGCCGGCGGGGAGTCGCCCCCCGCCCGCGGCTCCACGTCCGCAACGCGCGCCGTCAGCTCCTCCGACATGGCGAACCGCAGGCGCTTCGGCGACTCCAGGCTGAGGGTGCGCGGGATGGCCGAGGACCGCGTCCGCCCGCCGCCCCTGAGCGAGCCCCGCAGGCCGCCCACGCACCCGTTCTTGGCCAGCCCGACGTTGTGGAAGCCGCGCTGCCGCCGGGATTGCTCGCGGCGCCGCTTGCGGTCGGGGTCCTCGCCTGCGGAAGGACAGCGTCGGGTCAGAAGCAGGGAATAGGAACTCTAATGAGGATAACAATAAGAAGAACAAGAATAGTAATAATACCGATGATGATGATAATAACAATGATGATAAAAACCTACTACTACTTCTACTACCTCTTCTACTATTGCTACAATACTATTACTACTACTGCTACTACAATTATTACTACAACTATGCCTACAATACTACTACTGCTACTGCTACTACTGATGCTGCTGCTACTACTACTACTACTACTACTACTATTACTACTACTACAAATAATGATAATAATAATGAAAATAATGATAATAATGATAATAATGATAATAATGATAATAATAATAATAATAATAATAATAGTAATAATAATAATGATAATAATTATGATGATATAATAACAATAACATCAATAGTAATAATAAATAAAGAATAATGGCAATAACAATATTACAAAAGACAAACAGCTAATGAAAGGGTGGCAACGAATTACAAAAAAGAGTGGCAACGAATTACATATAGCTCCCCCCCGCCCCCCCTGAAGAGCTCTTGAGCGAAATCCGGCATCCTAACACAGTCGTTTCGCGAGTATTGATCAAAAAGTCTATTCGCGTTAATCATTTCTGAGAACTGTAATGTCACCTGTTCATATTTAACGTCGCGTGCGGCTCGACGTGCATCATTTAAGCTCAAAATCCTGTGATGATGATAAACTACATTATGAATAAAACACACGCACTCTCCCGTCACGTGTCATGCGCTGAAAAAAGTGACATTCTCTCCACCGTCACGTGTCATGCGCTGAAAAAAATGCAAAATTCTCTCCACTGTCATATTGCCAAGCGGTACGAAATACAGAGAGTTGTATGGTCACTTCTTTTACTTACCGACGAGCCAGTACGTGGTCATCTCTCCCTTGCCTTTGACTTTGACCTGACCTCGTTCTTCTAGGTTGTAGCCGCCCAGCTTGACCAGCAGATCACGACAGGAGCAAGAGCAGTGGATCCTCAGCGCTAAGGTCAGAGTGGAAAAAAAGGTCAAAACAGAGAAAGAAATTTTTTGCTTTTTGTTTTTTTTTGTTCCATTTCGTTATGTCTTATTTACTTACCTGTTTGTTCATTCATTTGTTCGTTTACTTGTTTATTTCTTCATTATCCTAGTTATTCGCTTATTATCTATTCATTTTTCATTTGTCTGTTTGTGATGTTATCCATTTATATATTCATGCATAATTTACAATTTTCTTTTCATATTTTCGTGCTGTTACATGATATGGACACACACACACACATAAATAAATAAATAAATAAGTATATATATAGTGTGTGTGTGTGTGTGTGTGTGTGTGTGTGTGTGTGTGTGTGTGTGTGTGTGTATTGCATCTACCCATTTTTATATCATATCTACGTACAAGGCTAGAACAGTGTTCATTCACTGCCCCCT